ACTGAGCACCACGCCAGCACCCGACACATGCTCTATAAATGTGCACTCGTCATCTCTGCTGGTCTAGAATTTCCCTCGCTGTAAAGTGTGGATCATGACAGTATCTACCTCATAGGACTGTTTTTCTGGACAAACAAGTTCTTGCATGTTAGTCCTAGGACCACAGCCTGGTTCCTAGCAAATGCTCAATAACATCCAGCCATTTTTAATCTGTGTTCATTTATTAGTAGTACAATTCTTATTGTGGATTAGCACTCTAATAATTAGAAAAGCTCTTCAGGGATCCCTGGGTGGCGCAGCGGTTTGGCGCCTGCCTTTGGCCCAGGCGCGATCCTGGAGACTGGGGATCGAATCCCGCATCGGGCTCCCGGTGCATGGAGCCTGCTTCTCCCTCTGCCTGTGTCTCTGCCTCTCTCTCTCTCTCTCTCTGTGACTATCAGAAAGAAAGAAAGAAAGAAAGAAAGAAAGAAAGAAAGAAAGAAAGAAAAGCTCTTCAATTTTTTGTGGAGCAGTTTACAGATCCAGGCAGCAATCAAGGTCGATTTTTAAGGTCAAAACTTCAGGTTTACCCAAATTACGTCTCCATGCTTCAGTGGGACCACTGTACGGACTGGCCTGTGGATGAGTTCAGCAGTGCATGGGCTGGTACCTTTCTTACCAAAAGGAGTGGTTTGTGAGTAAAGAAGCAGAGGCTCCATCTGGCCAGCTGGGTTTACATAATGAAGCTTGAACGCTAGCCGGCTGCTTCAGGAAGTTCTATGAAGTAAGAAATTCTTGTCCAACAAAAGTTCTTTTTCTACAAAAAGGCAACATAATGGAAAGGGCACCACTGCAGACTGCCTCAAAATGTTCTGGACTGTGGGAGAATTTCCCATACAGTGGCTGTGAGTCCATAAAGAAAATGGTATGTCCCCTGTGTCAGGGGCCAACTGGGGGGGAGGGGGAGGAAGGGGGTAGATTTTGTCCCATCCTCCCCTCCCCAGAGAATCGTCAGGGAGCTATAATTCTGTTTACAAGCCCTGAGGACAGTCTTGGATTGCAATGAACTTACCATACACACTTGAATCGGTCCCGTCTAACTGGGCCTCAGTTTCTCCATCTGTAAAATGAGAATATTGAACACATGGCATCTAACATACTTCCTACCTTTGATAATCAATTACTCTATGATTTCAATAATGGTAAGATTTGGTAGTTCATTTTTTGGAATAGAATTCAAGCCTTTAAAGAAATCGGGAGCTGGCTCCCCACCATGATCCACAGTTGGGCTGTGAAGGCTGGTGAACCCTTGCATGGATGATTTTGTGTGTTTTTCTGGATGATTTTTTGTGTGTAACCAAGTGTATCCAGGGCTAGCTATTATTCCTGCCTGCCCAGCTTTCTTGTCCCTCTCTTCTAGAATAAAGCCCATTTTTCCCCCTTTGGAAACTGCCCCGCCCACATCAGTGAGGCTGTCAATCACATGGCTTCACCTCACCGCCCCCCCCAACTCCTTTGAATAAGGTAATTAGATGCATGATCCAACAAGGGCCATTAAGAGTCCCTTCAGGGGCTGACACGGATGCTCCGAGGGAGAGGGTCCCCACTCTTAGATCCCAGAGTGCTCGAAGCTGTTGCAAGTCATATTTGCCACCAAGCAGAAACAACCCAGCAGGGACTGATGTCAACCCCATGGGAAGTGCAGAGGAGACAGGGGAAAAGGGGGGGGGGAGGGGAGGAGGAAAGGAAGAGAGAAAAGGTGGGAAAGAGAAAAAGAGGGAGGGATAGAAGAGAGAGAGAAGCAGGGGGAGATAAAGAGAGAGAGAGAGAGAGAGATGAAAGGAGGGGAAAGTGGGAAGGGAGATAGATCCCTCCAATGACTTCATTTCTTCATATGAACCTCTGACTCCAGCTATGTGTAAAGGGACATGCCTCGGCCTTTCCAGGAAAGCCAGAGTACGTCTTCCCTCTGCCATTTGTTTTTCTTCAAGACCTTAGGTTCCTCGAATGAAGACCCAGGACCCAGAAAAGATTAGAAACCACCACAGTTGGAGCATTTATTAGAGATGGAATGAACTCACTTCAGAAAGAAACAAAGTTTATTTGATGAATATAAATAAGGCGATCAGCACGAAGTATTTCTCATACACATGATAACAAATTTATGAACTGTACATACCTTGTACGTTGTTGTACTTCTACTAGACACGAGGTTACAATGACTGGCTAATACATGCCCACTGGTAGTTTCTGAGGGTTCCTTAGTTTTATTTATTGTTTTCATATCGAAGTCCATAATCACATGGTCAATATTCACAACCCACATGCCACTCACTTGAAGAGAAATTACAAGAAGCACTATCAAACAAGGGTCTCTGGGAATTAGATACACTGACCCCTGGCAGCATTCAAACGCCACTCTACACAAAAACATCTCAGATAGAGCTTATGTCAACACATTTGAGGTCTCATCATAAACACTGTTTAAAAAGTAAATTGAAACCCACTTTCAAATGAAAGTTGACACGCTGTTAACGTGCATACTGGATACACAAAAATCATTAAATACAAAATCGAGACTGTACATCAAAATCAAATGGGGTATAAAATACAAGCCTGCTTGTGCACAAAGCAAGAAGACCAACTCCTCCTAAATGTTAGCCTCAACTTTTTTTTTCAACTTCATTAAGATTAGAGGGGCACCTGCTGACGTTTGCACGAAGGAAATATCTCCCCAACATCACAGTGTTTGTTGTAAACCCAGAGACTATTTTTGTAAAAAGGGAATTTTTTTGGTAACCCCCAAACATCAGAGAATATTACATGAAATGGGAAAAGATGCTATGTTAGACAGAATTTAATTTTTAAGGGACTAAATAGTATGCCCCCATAACGGTAAGATCGATAATACTTTAAACCAACAAGAGTGGGGCAAAATATGCTCCCCCAAACGATAGCTGTGACAAAATTGGCACATACTTAGAAATAGCTAACTATACATGGTTGGTTGCTTTTTCTGTTTTGAGGACCCTATTTTCCCTAGTGGAATTCCTACTCCTACTTCAAGTATTCAGTTGCAGAGTTCAGGTCAGGATCTGGCCGTAGGAGGCAGTGAGGACCGCCTATTTGAGGACACTCAAATTGTTCATGGGGACACGTTTGCGTGGCCTGGGTTTTCAGTGCGACATTATGTCAGAATGTGCTATATACGCTTGCAAAGAACTCTGCTCTTTTCTCCAAACCGACATTCTAAATCCCTTTGCTAAAGGACAAACTGTTTAAACATGGATGTATTTGGATTGTTTATGCAACACGAAAGCTTTACATAGTTCGCTATACTTACTGACGACAAGAACAAAGCCAGAAGCAAGAAACCTGCTTGATTATATTACTCCTAACGCACCAAGGATGAACAGTGCAACTCAGACACAGTTTCATCTTCTCCGACAAATAAGGTGTCTGTCTCTTAAATATCTCTATGGCTCACGGGAGAGGTCCAGAGTTAATTGCACCAACGTTTTGAAAAGTAATAACAACAACTAAATTCAATGCAAGACTTCAGGAACATCTGTGTAGAATCCTTTCCACAGCAGCAAAGAAAGACAACTGTATTTATTAAGGCCACTCATGCTTAACTTCACGGTTTATCCTTTTAAGAATGCAGATTTTCATCCCCCACTTGCATACCTGTGGAAGGGTTTCTTCCATTGACGAGAAAGTGGATCAATGCGAGAGTTGCACATGTTTGCCAGACTGGTCGTGAGTTTTATGAAGTTAGAACAACTTTAATTATTTTTGAATCTTCAGAGAAAGCAGTAGGAGTTGAATTCTCCTTAGTACCATGTCTCTATATGTAAAAGACCTCCAAATTTGGTCTCTTTCCCTGGCATGTGCTTTAAATAATGACTCTGTACCCACACACATGTTGTGTAGAGCTATATACAGATACACAGCTTTTGTGATTATTCCTCATTCATCAATGTTTTCATGTATGATGCTGAAAATGCTTTGGAATCCGTGTTGGAGACATTTTTTATAAAAATGAGAAATGACCTTTCATTTACAGAAGATCTAAGCTTACACTGTTTGCACAGCATTTGGATCTTGAAATGTGAATGAGTCCCAGCTTCTTCATGGAGACCTGTGAGTATGGGACTGGTAAGAGTCTGAGGCTCGGGCACATCCCAGCCATGGGGATGAGTGGAAAGCATGGAATAGAAATATGCAGGTGCCTCAGGCTTTTGCCACTCTCCGGTACAAAAACAGGGTAGATAGAATCATGAATGATCGATTTAGATGTGCCATGCTTTGTCAGAGACACACACCATGTTCTCATAAGGCGATTTCTTGGCAAGTATTAGTGGTTTAAAAAATTGATTTCATTTCCAACCTGGCCCAGAGGTAACTACTGGTTACACCATCAAAATATGGTTCTTCAAACAGCGGATTAAAGAAATAGAGGAGGGTAAAGGCTCGCCATTTTTGGTGTTTTGGTTTCTTCATCAAACACTCCATGCATCTTGGTATACAAATACCGCCAACACCACTCACTCACAGAATTTACACTTTTTTGATAATCTAGTGCATTAGGAATAACCACTTAGACTGAACCAGCAGAAAAACTGGAGATGAAGCTAGTTGTCCAACAGAAGCTGAAGCCACAGGTAAAATCCCATGGAGTTCGAATTTATCCAATGATGTTTAAGTAACATAAATAAAAGTTATCAAATAATGACACGCAGAAGAGATGATCACATTTTAAACACCCAAATCTTGACAAAAAATGGAGGATCTGTCATCTTCCTCCTCCTCTTCCTCTCATTCTTCCTGTCCAACACATCTGAATCCATGAGAAATGACATGAGATGATAAAGGAAATATCAAGTCGAACAGAACTGTGCACCATAATGAAAATGAAAGCTCCTCTTCCAGTTCTGATGCGCGTTCCGGGTGGTGATGGCCAGTGACGTAAGCCACGCTGCAATAGATTATCAGAATATTGCTGCAGAGCTGCATTTCCCCTTTAGTTAGCTCTTCTGATAGCTGCAACAAGAAAGCACATAATTTAGCAGGGAAAGCAACTGCCATTGATAGAGGAGAGAATCCTGGCAGGCATTTCCATACCCTGACCCCTGTGCTGACCCTCCACTCTGCGCTTTGGTTGGGGTTGGTTGGGATGAGGAGGGCATCAACGGGCAGGAAGCATAGAGGAAGGACAGAGTGAACATTAAGTTAAATTACGTCCTGTAAACACATCTGAGAAGAGGCCTCTTTCAAAATATGTCACATACAGGTATAGATATCTCTTGATAGGCAACAAGAAAGTGAATGGAAATATACCAAAATGTTCGTTCCAGTGATTACTTCTATGTGGTCAGATTATGTGTCCATTTTTTCTCCACCCATACTTTTCTATAATGAGAATGATTCTTAAACTGTTTTTAACTTGACTTTATAGAGACTGGAGAGTTAAAGATGGTCAGGACACCAGAAAACTTAACATTTGCTTACAAATCAGCTGAGATCAATGGTTTAAAAGAATACTGGACCTAGCAAGTCCACTGCTAGGTATGGACTCAGAAGAATGGAAAACAGGGACAAAGATACTGGTACACAAATGTTCATTGCAGTGTTGTTCACAAAAACCAATAGGTGGAAACAACTGCCAAGTGTCTCTCAGCAAATGAATGGATAAACATACATACATACATGCAGTGGAATATTACTCAGCTCTAAAAAGAAATGAAGTTCTGATTCATGCCACAATATGAATGACATTTGAAGACATCATGGCAGTGAAATAAGTGGAAGAGGCCAGACACAAAAGGATAAATACTGAATGATTCCACTTACATGAAATATCTCAAACAGACAAATTCATAGATGTAGAAAATAGATTAGAGGTTTGCCAGGGGCTGGAGAAGAGGGAGGAGCAGGGGATTATTGCTTAGTGGGTACATTTAAGTGATCGTTTGGGATAGTGAGAAAGTTCTAGAAATGGGCAGTAGGGGTTGTACAACCTTGTGTATGTACTAAATACCACTAAATTACGCTTGTTTGCTTAAATTGGTTAAAATGGAGCATTTTTAAGGTATGTTTTGCCACAGTGAGAACATGTTTTTAAAAAGGACATTTATATCTCCTTAAATAGAGAGGAACAAAACAAAGTTGGCCTTCATCCCCGCATGCAACAGCGTATGTGTGTGTGCTTGACCCTAAATATAAATGTAACAGCCATCCATCCCCGTGTTTCATGCCCTGGGGAACAGATATGCATAAGCACCCCACGTTTTCTCACTGCCCCCGTAAGAGGCCTTCATGTGGAATACAAATGTAGCTGGGAAGAATCAGTAAAATGGGTGGGAAGAGAGGACCAGCCCACGTGACCCTTCAAACAATGACTTTCTTCCCTGCTGATGCTCATTATCATTCACATATGGCCTTTGAATACTTCGGAGTTTCCGGGCACATGGCAATAGTGCAGCTATCTGGGGAATACGGCAGGGAGGGGAAAGATCAAACACACACACACACACACACACACACTTATGTGTGAGCCACTTTTTATATATAGCCTGAGCTGCTTGATTTGGTGGTTGACGCTCAGAATTACTCAAGCCACAGTGACTAATGAGCACACCAAAGATCCCAGTGTCCGCACAGGTAGGCAGTTAGTCCCAGCCATGGTTAAACAGTACACATGAAATATGTGGCTTGGATGAACTCTGCTAATTCATACTCTGAGGAGTTTGGTGTAACCCTTCTGGTTAAGAAACTTGAATCGGGGCAAAAAAATGACTTTTGCAGAGCCAGAAAGCTAGGGAGTTCCTAGAGCAGATCATATTACTCATTCTGGCACATAAAATCTCTGCAAACTTTGTATGAAAATTGTAAGTCAGAGCACGCTTTCTGCTTCATGAGCTGTGCATAGCTCTAATTCTTTTGTGCATTAAGCATTTCTTAATCATCCTTTTAAAGGGCTGACCAATATATTAAAAGGCCACATGATTAAAAGGTAAAGAGAAACCCAAAGTAGTACTAAAATGCACTGGTCATATTTTACAGATGGGGAAACGAGTGAAAAATAATTACAGTGAATGCCTCATGTCCTTGATGTTTTTCCAAGATAAAGTAGCAAAGAACAATCATTTATTCAGTTGAGAGAAAGATCTCCAGCTGGGTAACAGGTCACTAGGCACAACACAGTGCCTCGCAACGGCCATGTGCTGCTTTGGGGCGAGGCTTATGCCGTGGACAAGAGGACTCTCAGAAACAGTTGCCACTCCTTCGACCAGACAATCCATTCACTGGGAGGCCCACATGGCTTTGGGAGCAAGACTCAGATGACATTTCGAGCAGTCAGAAATGCAGATGATCCTTACTGGGGGGCGAATAAGCCTATGCTAGAAAGAAAGAAAGAAAAAAGGAATCCTGGCTTCCAGCAATGAGGCAATCCAGGCAGCCACCCACTGTGGGATAATCTCTGGCCAGTTCTGCCTCACCTGGAGGGTCACAGCAGGCCCACTCTGTCCTCAAGTGGTGACTCAGGGTGCCCACAGGTGCCCCCAACAGTGCTATTTCCATAAGGATGTCTCCTCCATTTCGTGTTCCCTGGGTACACCTGCATCCACAATGCCATTGCCCTCAGGATGGTGGAAGGGCTCTGGCCACGCTGGTCTCTCCAGCCCCACACGTCAGGCTCCTCCCCTGCTGGACTTGCTCCTGCAACCTCAAGCTTTCTTTTCTCCTCACCTCACAACACTGTCTTTCTGCCTGACCTGCATTTACACCAAACCCCCTGGTACCTGATGCCTGCTTACTCTCTGGTCTCAGTTTACATGTCCCTTCCTCCCTGGGAGTCGGGCCTGACCCCCTTAAGTGTGGGACGGAGCACAGGGAATACTTCACTGTCCCCTTCAGGAGATTTGTCTGGACTCGAACTATCCAGTAATGTAGCCACCAGCCACATATGGCTACTCAGCATTCAAAATATGTTGGCCCAAACTGAGATGTGCTTTAAGTGTAAAATACACACCAGATTTCGAAGATTTAGTAAGGACTCATTTTTTTATATTGAGTTTGAATGAATATAAATCGAGATGTTGAATTTTAGATTTAGTATGAATTTATTCATTTAATTTTTCTTTTCCTCTGCATTTGTTTAATTTTTAAGTTATTCTTGAAATTCCAGTTAACATACAGTGTAATACTGGCTAGTATAATTTCATTTCGTTTTTAAAATATTTATTTCATGTTAAAACAATATTTTGGATATACTGGACCAATAGAGTACTACAATTAATTTCACCTATTTCTTGGGATCCCTGGGTGGCTCAGCGGTTTAGTGTCTGCTTCGGCCCAGGGCTTCATCCTGAAGTCCCGGGATCAAGTCCCGCATCAGGCTCCCTGCAGGGAGCCTGCTTCTCTCTCTGCCTGTGTCTCTGCCTCTCTCTGTGTATCTCTCATGAATAAATAAAATCTTTAAAAAGAATTTCAGCTTTTTCTTATTACTATATTTAACATGGCTACTAGAAAACTGAAAACTACTGGTGTGGCATGCATTATATTTCTATCTGCATAACGCTGGTCTAGGCTATAATATCTCAGAGGGCAGGGGCCAGGCCAGTCTTGCTCACTTAGCATCCTCTGTGCCTTGAGCCACTCATGCATTCCACAGGTGTTAGAGGGCATCTAGAATCAGCAGAATCCCACCTCCCACCAAGATTTCCTGCTCTGATCCCTGAGATCAATACTGTGAACAACTCACACCATAATTATGCTACCTTACAGATGCAATGAACGTCACTAATCAGTTGATTTTAAATTAATCAAGAGGGACCTAATCTAATCTCAGGAGCTCTGAATAGCACCGACCTTTCTCTTGCTAGTAGTGGGAGAGAAAGGGAAACTTGAAATACAACTGGGGTTTGCGGTGCTGAGATGGAGGGGAATCATGGGACAAGGACCTGAGAGTGTCCTGCACAATCCAAATGCAGCCCCCAGCTGACAACCAGCAAGAAAACAGGGCCCTCAGTCTTACAACCACAAGGAACTGAACCTGCCAAAAACTCAAATAAGCTTGGAGGGGGATGCTTCCCCAGAGCCCCCAGGTTAAAGTCCAGCTTGGTCAACACCTTGACTTTGGCCTCATGAGACCCTAAGAGGAGAACCCAGTAGTGCATGACTTGGTTTCTGACCTATAGGAACTGTGAGCTGATAAATGAGTGCTGTCTTAGTCACTGTTTGTGTTAATTTGCTATGCATTGATAGAAAACCAATACAGCTCCCTTCTGTTCTCAGGCAATGTGCTTGGTGCCAGAGGTATGATAATTAAAAAGATGATATCTGCACCCTCATGAAGCCTCTATTTTTAGGATAAGATAAACAACAGATACACAAAAAGAGATGAGAATGAGGATTTTAAAAAATTTGTGGCTTAAATGAAATGAACAGGGATCTGTGACCAGCATGCTTAAGATTTATTCACTATATGACGTGACAATTAGGATGTATTTTTTAACACAGAAAGATGTCCACAGGGGATCCCTGGGTGGCACAGCGGTTTGGCGCCTGCCTTTGGCCCAGGGCGCGATCCTGGAGACCCGGGATCGAATCCCACGTCGGGCTCCCGGTCCATGGAGCCTGATTCTCCCTCTGCCTGTGTCTCTGCCTCTCTCTCTCTCTCTCTCTCTCTGTGACTATCATAAATAAATAAAAATTAAAAAAAAAGATGTCCACAATTTTCCAGTGAAAAAAGCAGATAATAATTCTATATGTGTAGCTCGATCTTCTATTTGTAGCAAGACACTCATTTACAGCAAACACTTGCAAATGTAAATTTTTTTAAATTTTTATTTATTTGTGATAGTCACAGAGAGAGAAAGAGAGAGAGGCAGAGACATAGGCAGATGGAGAAGCAGGCTCCATGCACCAGGAGCCCGACGTGGGATTCGATCCCGGGACTCCAGGATCGCGCCCTGGGCCAAAGGCAGGCGCCAAACCGCTGCGCCACCCAGGGATCCCCTTGCAAATGTATATACCAG